AGCTTCACTTCCCATGAATTTCGTTTCCATAACAAATGGTCAATTTGAGGAACATCTTGGCTTTGCAGGAGTTTCTGCRCCTGGCCCATGGCAGGGCCCCTTCATCACCATGCATAAAACGTAAAAACACCTAACTCTGCCATTCCACCCATCCCATTTATTCACCACCCCTTTTCCCTCACATCATCTCCCCTAATCCTACACTTTCATCCAGGTAAAGAACCTTTATGTACCTCCATTTCCCCCCCCCGCCTCTTCTATTTCTCTCTCTCTCTGTCTTTAATCTGCACAACTTCTTTGACACAAATACACACGAGCTGCTGCTGGAGGCTGGGCAAAGGAGCAGGGGGCTCCCTGCTAAAGGACAAAAATCTCCAAACACCATCTGTGACCCGCAGATAATTGCAGAGGTGGATGGAGCCAACAGTCCGTCTCCAGGCAGGGGCTCTTGTGTATCCTCATTTTATGCTCTTTCCTTTCTTCTCCTTCTCTTTGTAGCCTCTCTGGGCTCTCTGATGCCTGCTATTTCCTCTGAAATTTGCAGCTGGCTGCATAAAGCATCCAGAGACAGGGCAGAGAAATCTCACACAGCTCCGGTCTCAGATCTCCCTTTGCTCCTCCAATCGAGGAATCACAGAATYGGAAGYGACCTTAGAGATCACCTCRTTCCAAAGGAGAGGGAGTGCTTTTCCCTCTCGGTTTCTTTGATGAGCAGGGGAAAATTGGCAGCTGCAAGCGCTCGGTGATGTAAACTGAGTTTTCTGAGACTCTCTGATAAACTGCCTGCCTGGCACTGCTGCAGATACAGAAACCACACGCCTGTGATGCCACAGCTCATTTTCGTTTGGGGACCACCACCCTGCAAAACCCCGTGGGGAGGCAAAGAAAACAGAACCTTACCTGGTGCAGAGGCTTGCTTTAGATGAGGGTTGTTGATAACTTGTCTCCCCTGTGATAGAAATAGAAAGGAAAAAAAAAAAGGAGATATTTATTACTTTGCTGAGTTTCAGGAAAAACTGATTTCAGCTTCACAGACGAGTGGGAGTCTGGGGCAGAGACCACTGCCATCAGTCAGCAGCCCCTGTGTCTGGCTCCACGTGTGTTGGGATGGCTTTAGCACATTTTTGCCATGAGGTGTTCGTAGCTGTGTTAACAGAAAGCTGGAATAACCCCTGGCTTCYCTCTGAGCTAAAGCACAAATCTGCTGCCCACTCATTTGGACCCCGGTCCATCCAACCCCTGCTYGCTGGTGCCAGATTTCGGATTAACAAGGGATGAGATATGAATGGTCCAGCTGAGAAATGGCGATTGCAGCATTACTTCAAGCAGAAAAACAGAGATATTGTCTGTCATAATCATCCYGAGGCTCATGGAATATCTTTTGTTCTGGTTTACACTCAAAAAACAGAGGCAGTGACTGTAACAGCGAATTAATCAGAGAATTGTAGAAATCATCAGACATTTGATGGTCATTGTGAGTATCCACTCAGGATATTCTATTATTTTATGATTCTCTGATTCCTAAGCTGGAAGGGACCCACAAGGATCATCAATCCAGTCCCTGGCCTTGCACAGACACATCAACAATCCCAGCCTGTGCTTGAGAGAGCTGTCCAAACCTTCCTGGAGCTCTGGCAGTCTCGGGGCCGTGACCATTCCCTGGGGAGCCAGAGTGGGATTTTTCTTCCCAGCACCCTCTGGGGGAAGAACCTGTTCCTGATTTCCACCCTAAACCTTCCCTGGCACAGCCCCAGCCGTTTCCTGAGTCCTGTCCTTGGTCACAGAGAGCAGAGCTCGGAGCTGCTCCTCCTCTGCCCCTCAGGAGGAAGTTGCAGACTGTGAAATTAAAGATCAGCTGGGCACTGCAACTCATCTGGGCACACTTTTAAAATGCTGATGTTGTCCCTGGTTCGGTCTGACCCAGCTGCTGGAACTGGCAATTTATCCACAGATCATTCCAAACGAGCTGGGATGGAACCACCTTGTTTAGGGGTCTGTTTGAAATTGGCCTCCATCCAACTTCCAGTGGCTGTTTGACCACTGCCAGGTATTTTTATACACATGTAAAAGTAGTGAAATACAGACACAGAATTAAAAACACCTCATCTTTCTGCCTGCACCCCACTTTGACCCCAAATTAGCAGAAGTGAGGGGGGGAGAGCTGCCCATCCACTGCCATTTTGCATTTAACTGGAAGAAATTTGGACTTCCTCTGCCATGTGAGGGCTGAGTGCCTGTGGCAAAAAAATAATGAGTGGCAGAAGGTGGCCACTGATACTGTATTTATAGTGATAGTGGCTCCTCTCCAGCGAGCTGGAGAGAATGAAATTTAGGAAAATAACATCTTCTTGGTCGATCTGACATCTGCTGTCATGAAAACTGGACCGAATAGCCATGGGAGACTCAGAAATGAGACTAAAAGACTGAAAAACATCTCCAGCTGTCATAAAAAGAAATGATTTACAATTCTTCCCCTCTCCTAGTGCTTGGGGTGGTTTTCACATGAGAGCTGCACCTCGAGTTTCTCTTGTGCTGAATGCAGTGCTGGCAGGGACAAGGAAAGACAAAACAACTTCATGTCCTCTGGACGACAACAGAGGTGAAGTGACTTGCAAAGCTTAAATGAGGAGCTTTTCAATTGAGGTCTCCCAAATCCTGCCCCAGATCCTTCCTGCTCCRTGTCCAGGCCAGCAGAGGCTGTGTAAACTCAAAGGGAGCAGCAGATGACCAGCATTTCTGGTTCTCAGCTCAGATTGGCTGCAGACCCTCCTGAGGACTCAGAGCAGTGAAGTTTCCATTGTGGTTTGCTGCTTTGAATCTTGGCCCGAATCTGACCCATCTTGCAAGTCAGCAACACAAGCCTGGGTTGCAAAGTGCTGATGAAAAGATATATCAAAGTACCAATATGCTTATTTTAGTTTCTTTTAATGTACAGAGGTTTCTCAGAGCCCTTCCCATCCCTGCCTGAAAGATACAGGGATCAGCTGGGAGGGACAGGGTGCCCAGAGAAGCTGTGGCTGCCCCTGGATTCCTGGAAATATCCAAGGCCAGGCTGGATGGGGTTTGGATCAACCTGGGATAGTGAAAGGTGTCCCTGCCCATGGCTGGGTGTGGAATGAGGTGACCTTTATGGTTCTTTCCAACCCAACCCATCCTGTGATTCTGTGATTCTGTGATTCTAAATATTGCCTGCATCACTTCAGACACCGACTGAGCTACGGGGGGATCCCAAAAGGGCACAAAAACTGCTTACCTTGGGTGGGGCAGGAGGAGGTTTGCCCTTGGTTTTTGGGTTGCCTCCAGGAGTGTGTTTCTCACTGGGCATCGGCTGGTTTTTGCTGCCAAACAACCCCATCCTGCAAGGAAGAGCAAAAATTGCTTTTTAATGAGGTTGCTCCTGGGGAAAGGTGCAGTCACCACGGGATGAAACAGTCTTTGCATTCATGAAGAACAAGATCAGGATGCAGGATGATGGGACAGTGAAGAGTCTAAACCCATCCTGTCTGCACGCCTCCTGCCACCTTGGGCCTTGTGAGCCCCATGGTTTCTGTTCTGACACGACTCTGGTGTTTCACACTTTGCAAATGAGGTTCAGACAGGCACTGTAAGTCACCAGAGGAAGAAAAAAAGAGGCACAAATGACTGCTTTGGATATGTCCCCTCTCCAAGGCAGAGATCCCCAGCTGGTGCTGAGCTTGCTCCAGAGCCGGGCGATGCCAGAGGGATGAAGATCACACATTGGATTTATGAATGTGCTGAGCTGTTCAGCTGCACCAGGGATCCAGGAGGGTCACACAGTCCCTGGCCCCAGAATGAGCCAYCTCAGGCTGCTCAGAGCTTTCTGCAGCTCGTGTCCCTCCCACGCAGCGAGGACAGCACGYGGATGTGGCCGCACACGGAACCAGCCCCGCTGTTCCTCATGTTTCAGCAGCTCAGACTCACACCTGGCTTGGACAGGGAGCTACAGGAACTCTTGGACCCTTTGGAACACTGAAAAAAGTTCAAGGAATGTTGTTTAGCTCACATCCGTCCTGTAATGGGCTTGTCTCATCCATCTGCAACACTCTGGTACTTTTTATGTGCTCGGGGTCCTCACAAGATGTGGTTCTCCCAGAAATCCCAGATTAATTTTCCCTGCACCCTATGCAGGTCTCAGACCTCCTGGATGCCTCAAGGATCAGCAGACACAAATGAATCAAACCTTTTCCATGGAKCATCATCTGGTCCACATTAAAGTTTCCAAACTCAGGATTGAGGACTGTTTAGCTTTCATCCTAGAAATGCAATTTCAGCTCCGGTCAGGAATTCAGAGGTAATGATGGGTCTGGGTAGCCAAAATGGCCAAACTCTGCTTGGAGCCTCAAAAATTAAGGAGCAGATGAAGCCAGCATTACTGAAGTGCAAGATCCAGTGCCAAAGTCTGCCCCAGCCYCTGTTTTGGACCAAAGGCAYTGGAAGGTGYGGGCTAYGTGCCMAAAAAAACCCCAAAACCCAAACACTGAATACTCATAGCTGGGCAAAGACACACTGACTCCTTTTCTTGCCAAAATATCTCATTGTCTGCAGTGATCACGGAGGATCAGGGACCTCAGGCCCAGGGACAGCMCCCAAATGTCAGTCTGGCACCGTGTCGGGGTAGTCAGACTCCAMGGGATGTGTTCAGAAAAGCTCTCAGCAAACCAGACTCACAGTGAAAAATATTCCCGTAAAAGCAATTTTTTTTTTTTTTGCTTTCTAGCACATATCTAATATTTCAAAATCTGGGACTCTGAAATGAGGTTTCTACTGGAGCTGTGACAATATTTTAAGGTGTTATTTCTTTAAATGTCTTCTCCCTTCTGCCTCATTTTTATCATTGCTGATAAAGAGAAAAATGGAAGGAACTGGTGAAATATTTCAGGATAGCTCAATATACATTATCCCCCCAATCAGAACTTTCCCATCTCTGAGATTTCCTCTGACCTGAGTTTACAGATGGCCCATCCATCTGTCCCCAGGCCTCAGCTCTGCTCCAGGCACTGACAGCACAGTCAGAGGGGGAGTTCCACCCATTAAATCATCTAGAGCAGCTCCTGCAGCAATTTCATTTTCATCTGGCAGCCTCCATGCTGCACCCAGGGCAGATCTGGTGGTGATGCAATGGTGTGTGATTTATTAGGGGAACTTTTCCTGCTCCTCCACTCACAGCTTTGCATGAGGATTTCTAATTCTGAATGGTGGTTTGGCTTTTTTTTTTTTTTGCCATGAGAGTGGCTGGAATTTTGTTTTTATTCAGGGAACAGTCAGGTGTCATTTTAAGTCAAAGCTGGATGATGGACAAGTTTTAGATATCACTTATTACCAGAAAGACAGAAAATCCTCCTACTTGTTTGGACAAAATCCTGGGATCTTTGAAACACTCTGCTCCCAAATGAGAGATTATGTGAGCAATATCCATATTTTCAGCAGATTTAGGGAAGGTGAGATACAGCACAAATCTTTGTGTGCCAATCGTGCCACCAGGACGATTTTATGAGAGGATTGATCACTATCTACGGGATTGTGGATGCTTCTTTTGGGGTTTTCAGTTGCCCTCAATGYGTGATGACAACGAAAGATATTTGGGTCTTCAAATATATCCTCCCACACACATCCTCCCTCTCCCCTTCCGCTCTACCTCAGGCAGCGTAGCTCATTCTAGCACGAGAACACCAGGTGCTCACATAATTAATGGATACCTAATTAATAACAGTAACARTAATKATAACAATAATGAWAATAAYWATAATAAYARYAAYAAYWAWAWWRTWRTRATAAKRATRATRATGATRATRATAATAATARTAAYAATARTAAYAATARTAATAATARTAATAATAATAATRMTGTTTGCAATKATTTTGTGGCCTGCAAAAGGGTATAAAAAGGCTGCACCAACTGGTTTTCCAAGATGGAAGGCAGCTTCTGGATGGGTCTCTATCCCCTATCCATTCCCTTCCACCCCCTGCCTTGGGCAGGAAACCTGCAGGACATCCAGCCCAAAGACAGGGAACGCTCACTTTTGAGTGGGTGAGTGAAAGCTCTCAGATTGAGAGATATATACATAGATATACATACAGAGATAAATCCTGAAGTAGCTCCTTGCAGTTGTGAATTCTGGAAGGCCAAAGGTTGAAAATCTGCACATTTCCAGCTGAACCTGCTTATACTGTAATCCTTTAGTCACAGGCCGTTGACCAAATCTGAGATTGGGAGATCTGAGCCACACCAAGACTTCTTTGAGCAGTTTAGAAAGTGAGGGGGTCTCACTGAATCTCATGACTCAAGAGGGGAAAATACAATCTGGTGACACTACAACCATTTTAACAGATGATGGTTTGTTATTTCGATATTTGTTGGAAATATGGATTGTATTAGCTATAAATCTAATCATAATCACCCACATCATCACTGTGTCCTGCTTCTCCCACTGGACCAAGAATCTCCTTTCAGCTCCTATGATTCCTGGTGAGGAAAAACGGGAAAGGCCTGGAGGAATATCAACCTCCGTGAGCCCCACCAGGGGTTTGAGGCCATCCCAGCTCCTCTGGCAGGGTTTGAGGGGAGTGGGGACCACGATTGGACCTGTGCATCCCCATGGGGACAGCTCGTTCTGCACCCTGCTGATCTTGGGAACGCCTCTCTGTGCCCTTGCACAGGCTCAGCCTTGTCCCCACGCACATGTCCGAGACAAAGCCATGCAAAAACAGCTCGGGGAAGGGAACAACACTGCCGACCTTGGGTCAAGCCCCCTACCAAGGTCACTCGCTGCCACTCACCACAGAAGGGGTTAGAACAGCTCTGGAGATTCACAGCCCCTACAAAACCTTGTTTTAGGGTCCATACAAAACTCTCCCGGTTGCCTCCAACACCTTCAGCAGCTGAAGTCACCAGCCTTCGGGCCAACAGGTTTTTTACAACATCCCAAAATAGTCCTGCAGACAAATGGTTGTTGGATACAGAGAGCTGCTGGTAAGCTCTCAGTCCACACCTGGTGGAACCTTCATTTTTTAAAATGTCTTTTTTTTTTTTTTCCAAAAGAAAAGCGGCTGAGTTGAGTGTATGCTGTCCCAACATGTTTCCGCTGCTGATTAATGCTTTTTAAAATTATCTTCACAAGAAAAAACAAATGAGAAAAGCAACTCAGAGTAGTTCTCCCACTCTGTTTTTATTTTTTTTCCAGTGGAAAGCAGCGCTGGGGAGAACACATTAACTCAGAAAAGCATGGAAATTTCCTCTTGTGCAATCATAGTTTTTCGCATCTAAAAATGTTGGTTTATACTTAATAACTGAGAGGGGGAAAGCTTGCTTCCACAACCCCCCAAATTTATAAAACAAGTTCTTTTTAAAGTGACCAAAAATCAAAGCAGAAATAAAAGTTTTTAGGCAGCACAAAGTTTTCTCCCTCTTCACCAGGGAATGTAGTGATAGAAAGAATAATAATGGGTTTAAAGTGAAAGAAGGGAAATTTAGGTCTGATATATAGAAGAAATTCTTCCCTGTGAGGGTGGGAAGGCCCTGGCACAGGGTGCACAGAGAAGCTGTGGCTGTCCCTGGATCCCTGGAAGTGTCCAAGGCTAGGTTGGACAGGGCTTGGAGCAACCTGGGATAGTGGAAGGTGTCCCTGTCTATGGCAGAAGGGTGGAATGAGGTGAGTTTTAAGGTCCTTTCCAACTCAAACCCTTCTGGGATTTTATGATTTTATGTGCATTAAAAAATTTAGCAAAAAGAGTTTTAGAAACAAAATGGTGACATTCTTGGAGTGGCCGTGTGCAGATCGAGGAGTTGAACGTGATGATCCTTCTCTCTCCTTTCCAATTCAGGTTAATCTATGATTTTATGAATCCAGCTTAGCTGCTGGTAGATTTTGAGTAAAAAATACTTGATGGAGATGTGTTCCTGGAAGAGCCAAGGTGAAAAAGCCAGTAGGAACCAGGACAAAGAGCTTGGTGGTGTGCCCAGCCCTGAATTCGTGGGATGGATGTGCAAGTCCCAGGAACACCAGATGCATGGGCAGGGTGCCCACATTGGGGAATGACAGAAATTAATTTTAGCAACCTTCAGAGGGGCAGCTGAGGTGGCATTTGGGCTGGAGAGAGGTGGATGTAGGTGCAAATGTTCCTGCAGGAATGGGTCAAAGGGAGCTCTTCTGAAGATCACAGAATCACAGAATATCCTGGGTTGGAAGGGACCCACCAGGAGCATCGATCCAGCTCTTGGCCCTGCACAGACACCCCAACAATCCCACCCTGTGCATACCTGAGAGCAGTGTCCAAACACTCCTGGAACTCTGACAGCCTTGGGAATGTTATCATTCCCTGGGGAGC